CACACTTTGAAAACCTTTGGGAAAAAAAAAAAAAAAAAAAGGCCGGCGCCGCAGCACACTAGGCTAATCCTCCGCCTTGCGGCGCCGGCACACCGGGTTCGAGTCCCAGTCGGGGTGCCGGATTCTGTCCCAGTTGCCCCTCTTCCAGGCCAGCTCTCTGCTGTGGCCAGGGAGTGCAGTGGAGGATGGCCCAAGTGCTTGGGCCCTGCACCCCATGGGAGACCAGGAGAAGCACCTGGCTCCTGCCTTTGGATCAGTGCAGTGTGCCAGCCGCGGCAGCCATTGGAGGGTGAACCAACGGCAAAGGAAGACCTTTCTCTCTGTCTCTCTCTCTCACTGTCCACTCTGCCTGTCAAAAAAAAAAAAAGAAAAAAAAAAAAAAGAAAACCTTTGGAGTAGACAACATCACTCAAAAAGAAGGGCAAAACTGATAGTAGAAGATAATCAAGAACAGTGTCATGAACAATACGGGCACTTACGAGGCAGGCAAAAGGAGGAATCAATGAATGAAAATGAAAAAGAATTTTCAGAGAATGGATGAAAACTGGAAGAGCTGTACAAAGTGCATACTACATAGTATCAAACAGCTGAAAGCAGTGAAAACTGAGAACAAGAGATTGTACAAAGTAACAAGGAAATCCCTGGAGATTTTACGAAAAGCAATTGTGTTGAGTGAAAGGGAAGGAAGATACTGTAATGAATTGAAGAAGTATAGACTACACTTGGGAAGACTGGGTTGTAAAGAGCAGAAGAGAAATACAAGGCAAACCACCACAGGAAACGTGCTTTTGGACAAAAGACTTGAGCACACGTGTAGGCAAAAGAGAAAAGATGAACGAGAAGAAGACACACCAGACACAGGGAAAGTTAAAATGACTTCCCGGAGTAAGAATCCTATTATAAGGAATTGCAGTGGAACAGTAGCTCAGGCACAGGGAATACTCAGCACTAGACAAGAGTCAGCCAGTCTTTAGTGCCAGGAGTGAAAGAAGTTACAAACAGGTATTGTGAGAGGTAAGAATCAAGGTGTAGGGAAAGGTAAGGGAAGCACGGTGGGCGAGACCACGTCTAAAGACTCTGATTGCAGGCCTGCCCTACATGAAACATGGAAAGAATTTCTTTAGAGAAAAACAATACCAGATGGAACTCTGGCTCTACACAAAAGAAAGAAGAATGAACTAGAAATGTAGATTTATATAATTTCTCATTTTTAACATCTTTTTAAAATGACTGGCTGTTTAAAGCACAACAATAATGCATTGTAGGATCTATAGCAAAGTAAAATGTGTGAAAAAAGACATGAGAAAGAAGGGTAGTAATCTAAGAGGACTAATGGGGGTTTCTTACCCTGTGTGTGCTGTAGTACAGAACTGTTTGAAAGAAGATCATGATAAAAATATATAAGCCATGGAGACAGCACTATGGCTTTGTGTAAAGCCACCGCCTGCAGTACCAGAATCCCACTGGTTCGAGTCCCAGCTGCTCTACTTCCAATCTAGCTCTCTGTCATGACCTGAGAAAAGTGGTAGAAAGCAGCCCAGGTGCTTGGGCCCCTGCACGTGCATGGGAAAGCCAGAGGAGGCTTCTGGCTCCCGGCTCCGGATCGGCTCAGCTCCGGCCGTTGCGGCCATCTGGGGAGTGAACCAGCGGACGGAAGATTCATTCATATTCTCATTCTCTCTCTCTCTCTCTCCCACCCCCCCACCAACCCCGCGTTTCTGCCTCTCTAACTCTGCCTTTCAAATAAATAAATAAATCTTTAAAAACACACTTGGGTCTGAGAGAAGGTTTAAATCCAGAAATCCCAGCAGCTAGGGAACAGAAGCGCCAGAAGGAGGGATTCACAAACTGGTAGCATCACAGGCTTTAGAAATTCCATGGAGAGAAAACTGATTTAACCTCATGGTGCCACATTTAACTGACCACTGAACTCAGTGTTCAACTTATATATTTATTAAGAGTTCAAATAACTAGCATTACCACAAAATGTTATTTTTGAAAATGTTACTAGTCCGACAGATGTTAGTAAGAATTAAAAGTAATCCTTTACAAAAAACTACAGATATGCCTTACTTTAAGCAGTTTATGTATACATGTATCTAACAAAAAAGATAAACTAGTAGCCACATATTTTGAGGGGAAAAAAACAGTTTTTAAAAATGAAGCAGATCTGGATTTAAATCCTGATTCATCATCTATTAGATTTAAGATCTTGTGCAAATTACTTATGTTAGTGTGAGGATTAAATGTTATATAACATATTATATATATATATATAAAATATGTAACATATACAAAAAAGACCTACAAGTTATCTAACATATTATAGGTACTTACTATATAGCAAATGATTATGGTGATTAACCAGCATCATTTAAATAGCATATTCCCCAGTATAATTAAAATAAAATTCCATTCTCAAAAGTTTTAGCTTATTTGAAAAGCACTGATTAGATAATCCCTTTTTTTTTTTTTTTAAGTTTGAGGTAGAGACAGAGAGCAAGCATTCTCATCCATTGGTTTGTTCCCCAAATGCCAACAATGGGCCCCAGTCTGGACCAATGCTGGGAGCTATGGGAATCTCATCAAAGTTAAGAGCAACTGAATCACTCAGGTCATAACTGCTGCCTCCGACATAGGATATGCACTAGCAGGAAGCTGGGTTCAGGAGCTGGAGCAGCAGTCAGGAGTTGAACCCAGGTACCCTGCTGTGAGACACAGATTTCTTAACTGCTAGGTCAAAGACCCACTCCTTCACCATATTTTAAAGAGTGGAATTTAATTTGTGATGTCCAACTAGAAGGTTTATTGAGATACAAAAAGGTCTTTACCATCATGCAATGCCATGGCACAGACCTCCAGACAACACGTCAGTGAAATTCCAGAATTGCTTCACATGGAAGGTACAACAACTAAAATACTCACCGAAGTCTTGCTAACATAAGGGTTGTGATTTCAGTTAGGTTTCTCATGAAAATGTTATTTGATACAGTTAGAACAGTCATTATAGGATAATGCTTATGCTAATTAATTCATCTGTCATTATTCATGGAACAGAGTTTGCACAAGTAACATCATTTCAGACAATGAAAATTAGACAATCTTGGTTTAAAAATATGAAAATATATTTAGAGCCTGCGCAGTGGGTTAAGCTGCTGTATGCAGAAGCAGCATCCCATATGGTCACCAGCTCAAGTCACAATTGTTCCACTTCTGATCCAGCTCCCTGCTAATGTGCCTAAAAAGGCAGCAGAGGATGGCCCAAGTGCTTAGGCCACTGCACCCATGTAGGGGTGGACAAAAGACTTGAGAGAGACAAGGATGAAGCTCTTGGTTCCTGGCTTTGGCCTGGCCCAACCCTTGCCATTGAGGCCATCTGGAGAGTGAGCCAGCAGATGGAAGGTATCTGTCTCTCTGTCTCTGCCTCTCTCTGTATAACCCCGACTTTCTGACTTTCAAATAAATAAATAAATAAATAAATATTTCAAAATATATACATTTAGAAAGATTATGGAAAGTTATTCTGGTCCTTAGAGAACACCTAATCCAACCACATCTAGGGCCTTGAAAGTTGGGAAGAAGAATTCAAATGTAATTTGATAGGCAGGAAGAAACCACTGTTAAGCTCATCATCCTAGGACCAATGTAATAAAAACAAGGTTTAAGGGGCTGGCATTGTAGCATAGCAGGTAAAGCTGCTGCCTGCAAAGCTGGCATCCCACATGAATGCTGGTTTGAGTCCCCGCTGCTCCACTTCTGGTCCACCTCCCTGCTAATGTGCCTGGGAAAGCAGCTGAAAATGGCCCAAATCCTTGGTCCCCTGGTCCCCTGCAAGCCATGTGGTAGACCTGAAAGAAGCTCCTGGCTTCTGGCTCCTGGCTTTAGTCTGGCGCAGCTCTGGCTGTTACAACAATTTGGGGAGTGAACCAGCGGATAAAAGACCTTTCTCTCTGTCTCTCCCTCTCACTGTCTGTAACTCTGCCTTTCAAATAAATAAATAAATCTTAAAAACAAAAACATGGTTTAAGAAAGACTAGTCTGTTAACTACAATTGGGAGACTTGTTATATAATTAATAAACAGGTGAATTTCATAGAAGGACAAACAGACATTTGTTCATTTTCTAGTCAGGGAGGATGAAGGGTCAGGTTGAATCACATGGTTCTAAGATTGTAAGATGAGTGATGGGAAAATGGTAGGACCAAGAAAATTGGGAGAGAGGTTTTTTGGGAAAATTTGTTCATAGACATTCTAAAGGCATACAAAAGTCAAAACTTTTCAGTTGAAATTTCAGATATGAAATCAGATCTTAAAGAACTTGCCTTTGTAAAACATACTTTCTTTCACATAAACACAAAAAAGTAATTTACATTAATGTGTAGTATATCCTGTGACATCTTTTCCCCAGGTAGAAGTATTTTTTAAAATTACATTGTTCTAGGCTGTTCTAAACTCAGTTTAATGACAGCCACCACAAAATCAGTAGGAGTAGATTAAAACTATCTTATTAAATGTAATTCATACAAATACCCCTGTGAACTTAAGTATTATAATTCTCATTTTACAGATAAGAAAATTAAAGGGATCAGAATAGCAGAGTTTAATGAACTGAACTGATTCAAGCAATGCTTAAATCTAACAATTTAATAGGAATAGTGATAAAAGTAGAAACAAAGCAACAGAATGTAGCAGATAAACCTCAAATAAATGATACTCCAGATCTAAAACATCATTGTTTTGTCTCATCAACCTTAAAAGTCAGGTATGCCTGACTCTCAGACTAACATCTAATGACAATATTAGGAAACCATTCCTTTTTTTCTTTTTACATACTTAGCTCACCGAGTATAATTTCCACTGTGATCAACATTTTAGGGCTGGAGGGAGAATGGATGTGATGGAAAGACAGACCTCTGAAAATCTGAGCCTGGAGACTTCTAGTAGCTCCTCATAGTATATACAGATTTGTTACCATCATGAAACAGTATGCCTAATTCTTACCATTAATGACAGGCGTGTAAACAACAATGCCAACCAAGTTTGGGTCAGATACAGTTGTATCCAGAATAAGGCCTCCAATGCTGAAAGATATAAAATAAGAAAATTTACAGAAAAGGAAAGAGAATGTACTTAAAGTTTTTCTGTACTTATAGATATCCTGACTTTATTGAAAATCACACATGGCATAAGCTATAGCCCCAAATTTCAGGACTTTGATCTCAAATATATGCTCCTTATAAAAAGAAAATAAATGTGCAATTTAAGTCCATTAAAATGTCTGGAAGGACATATAATAAATTATCAACCACGTCTATTTCTAAGGTTTGAGAATGACAAGGAAGTGACAGTCATTTTATATCATTCTATGTTTATGGATTTTAAAAACCATTTCATCTAACACTCATAATTTAAAAGATAACTAAATTTTAAGAGTATCTTTTCATGTTTGAAGTAAAAGTATTAAAGAGACGACTTTGTTGAGCTAAAACTAGATATAGTTACAATATGTCTTGTCTTACCACTAGCAAATTAAAGTGAGTTGTAGCAGGGCCAGTGCTGTGGCAAAGTGGGTAAAGCTGCCGCCTGCAGTGCTGGCATCCCATATGGGCACTGGTTCCTATCCTGGCTGCTCCACTTCCAATCCAGCTCCCTGCTAATGCATCTGGGAAAGCAGTGGAAGATGGCCCAAGTCGTAGGGTCCCTGCCACCCACATGGGAAACTTGGAGGAAGCTCCTGGCGCCTGGCTTTAGCCTGGCCCAGTCCTGGCCATTGCAGTCTTTTGGAGAGTGAACAAGTAGATGGAAGAGCTCTCTGTCTCTCCTAACTCTGATTTTCAAATAAATAAATAAATCTAAAAAAAATCAGAAATCTAGAAAAATTACAAAGTCATGCAGTGGCAAACCATACATTCTCAACATCTCAATGAAACTTGGAGGTCCCCCCCCATTCATGTTTCCAAGACCATTATGCATTAGTTAACATCAGTCTGTTGGCTGCAGGGTACAGGAATGGGGAACGTATAAAGTCTGCAATATCATTTGGACTGACCCTGCCAAGTCAACCATAGGTGGGACTTGAAATTCAATACATCTATAGTAGGCTAATTCTTAAGGTGATAATTCTGTATGGCCTGCAAATGATGTTATAAATATCCAAATGGCCCTTGGCAGAAGAAAGGCACCCTACCCCTGGTTTATGGACTATCAAACTTTGCCAGCCCAACAGCCCATGGAATCCTGTTGCCTAAATCTTCCAGAAAACGGTTCACTACAACAAAATGAATTGCATACTTTCACAGAATGGGGCTGATTGTGAAAATATCAGATCAAATGATCTTATCACTACCTAACAATTAACATTAGGGCATTATTAAAACTTATTATTTTAATTCTTCAGTAAGATGAATGAATTAAAGTTTAATATGCCTAAACTGTGAGAGTTCCTATTTAAACGACACAGAGTACAGAATTAGTCCTCTTTAGAAATATTTTAATACTTTGGGGCCAATGTTGTGGCTCACCATGTCACATAAGAGTGCCAGCTCAAGTCCTGACTGCTCTGCTTCGAATTCAGCTTCCTGCTGATGTGTGTTGGTAGGCAGATGACGGCCCAAGTACTGAGCACATGTCACCCATGTGGGAAACCCAGATCAGGCTGTTGTAGCCATTCTGCAGCCATTTGGGAGTGAACCAGCAGAAGGAAGATGTTTGTCTCTCTGTTGCTCTTTTAAATAAAAAAATCTTTAAAAAAGCAATATTTTAATAGTTTAAGCCCTAATTTAAGAAGAAATATAAATGTCAAGAACAAAGTAGGCCGGTGCCATGGCTCAATAGGCTAATCCTCCACCTGCAGCGCCGGCACACCGGGTTCTAGTCCCAGTAGGGGTGCCGGATTCTGTCCTGGCTGCCCCTCTTCCAGTCCAGCTCTCTGCTGTGGCCAGGGAGTGCAGTGGAGGATGGCCCAAGTCCTTGGGCCCTGCACCCGCATGGGAGACCAGGAGAAGCACCTGGCTCCTCGCTTTGGATCAGCGCGGTGTGCCGGCCACAGCGCGCTGGCCACAGCGGCCATTGGAGTGTGAAACAACGGCAAAGGAAGACCATTCTCTCTGTCTCTCTCTCACTGTCCACTCTGCCTGTCAAAAAAAAAAAAAAGAACAAACTAGTCTCTCTCTCTGCCTCTCAGTAACTCTGCCTTTCAAATAAATTTTAAAAAAAACTGTATATGAAATATACAAAATCTGTTCACCTTATCTAAATAAAAAATTAAAATTAAAAAAAAACTAACTAGTTAGGAGTCAAAGAATAAATCTCTCTGTAAAAATGTATAGGTCATGTTATGAATGTAACATATATTTTATAATACTTTTGTTACCCAAGTAGTAAAACTTACTACAGAAAAAAATTAGAAAATACAAATAAAAAGAAAATAAATAAATCCTACTTATTCAGAGTTACACTGTTACACTGCTGGTAAATAGCCTCTTGACATCCTTTTCTTAAATATTATTTATGAATTTAAATTGGCCAAAATGTATATATGTATCCCAAATAACATGGTGCTTTGAAATATGTATACACTGTGGAATAACTAAATTGAGTCACTTATCATGTACTTTACTGATATACTTTACCCCTTCCCTTTTTTTTTTTTTTTTTTTTTGTGGTGAGAACAGTTAAAATCTACTCTCTCAGGAAATTTCAAGAATACATTAGTCATAGCCACGATGTTGTACACTAGACCCCCAGAACTTATTCCTCCTGCCTAAATGAAGTTTTGTATCCTTTTTCCAATATCTCCCTTGCCCCACCTCAGATAATTTTTAATGTGTGCATTAAAAAAAAAAAAAAAACTGGGGGACAAAGGCCAGTGCTGTGACATGGCAGGTAAAGCTGCTGCCTGCAGTGCCAGCATCCCAAATACACGCCGGTTCGAGTCCCAGCTGCTCCACTTCCACTCCAGCTCTCTACTATGCCCTGGGAAAGCAGTAGAAGATGGCCCAAGACCTTGGGCCCCTGAACCAGCATGGGAGACCATGCTTCTGGCTTCTGGCTCCTGGCAGCGGATCAACGCAGCTCCAGCTGCTGTGGCCACCTGGACAGTGAACCAACGGATGTAAGACCTCTCTCTCTCTGCCTCTGCCTCTCTATAACTCTGCCTTTCAAATAAAAATAAATCTTAAAAAAAAAAAACAAACAAACAAACAAAAAAACTGGGAGACAGACGCTTAGCTTACTAGTTAGGACTACCTGGGTTCAACCTTTGGCTCTGGCTTCTGGTTCCAGCTTCCTGCTAATACAGATACCAGCAGCCAGTGACGATGGTCCAAGTAATCAGGCTCCTGACATACACACTGGACACCTGGATTGACTTCTTGACTCCCAGCTTCACCTAGCCCAGGCCCAGCAGTTGTGGGCATACAGAGAGAGGACTGGCAGACAAAAGCTTTCTCTGACTCTATATGTCTATCTGTTCGTTTCTCAAATAAACAAAAAAATTTTAAAAATTAAATTTGGATAAAATCATAACAGCAGTTTTGCTTTTATTAAATGCTATTCTTATAAAACATGGGCATTACTGAAAAAGTGAAAATACTAACCCCCACCCTAGATCCTTCTCTTTACTAGGAATTCTTTTCAACTTCAGCAGCTTCTTTTGGCATTCAGTTCTATATTGCTAAATAACATTTTGCACTGCCGTTTCTTCATTTCTAATTGTAGACATTTATCTAATGACTTGCTATGATGGCAGATGAGGATTTAGTTGCTTTTACACTTCACTCCCCACTTCTGTCCCTTTACAAGTCCCTTCCTGACAATCTAGTTTTGGGAGATTTTCTGGATTATTTTCTTCAATAATTTTCTCTTTCTCATTTGTCTCTTGTCGTCTGCCTTTCTTTGAACACTATTTTTTAATGTGTCTTTATGTGAGATATCTGTAGACCCTTTCTTGTCTGCTCCTCTTTAAGAGGGTGCAAAGCATACACAAGTGGCCACGGGGTCTGGTGGCAGGTGGGCCTCATTGAAGAACCATCAAGGGGTCTTGCAGTTCTTTCACCAAAGGACTCACACAGGTTAGCATCAGCAGTTTCTTTGTGTTGTGTCAATGAATTTCCCCAGAAAGCGATTATCGGGGGTTTTTTGTTGTTTGTTTTGCCTAGGGTTATAAACCCAACTGCTGCAGGAATGCACTATGAACAGAGAAAAGGGAATGAGACAGCATTCTCACTGTTCAGTGTGCAGTGTAGACATTCACTTAGTCTTCTAGAACCTCTCTAATTTGGTCTCCTCAGAGTCCATTGCTGTCTTTTGCTTGAGTGGGAGGGGGCAGTCACCAGGGCACTCCAGCTGAAGAAGATCTTCTGGGATTGAACTGCCCCGTATCTAAACTTTCAACCAATCTTCTTAACTTCAGCTTTCAGAAGTACTTACTGCTTCTAATTCCTCTTCCCTTCTGGGTTTCTGAGGCTCAGATCAGCTGGCTTGGTTAGATATCAGTTTTTTCATTCTATTGGTTCAGTTGATGACAATCCTTATGATTCCTGTCTCCCTGGTTCTGCCAAATCCCTCACCTGCTGTCCTCTTTGCTCCTCCTCTTTGTGGATTTACAGTATTTTATTATTGTACTATAATTTTAGTAGTTGCAGGGAGCAAAAAAGTAAATGTGTCTGAATCTACCATGTTTCACTAGAAATTCACTTTTTTAGATTGCTCTTTTCATCAAATATATAATGAACATCTTTCCACAGCTAAAAATGCTACAATATTACTTTTAAAAATTTACTTGAGAGGCAGCAGAATAGAGAGACAGAGAGGTTCCCATCCTCCCATCCCTTTCCAAATGACTGCAATGGCTGGAGCTGGTCAGGCCCAGAACTAGGAGCCAAGAATGCAATGTAGGCTTCTCACATAGGTGACAAGAACCCAAATACTGGAGCCACCTACCTGCTGCCTCCTAGAGTCTGCTCTGGTAGGAAGCTGGAATCAGGAGCCAGAGCCATGCACTGAACCCAGGCACTCCAATGTAGGAGGTGGGCATCTTAACCCTTAGGCGAACATCTGCTCCTACAATGTTATTTTTAATATCTATTATTCCATTTTGTGACTATACCATGATTTACTCTATCAATACCTGACCACTAGACCTTTAGATGCTTCTTTTTATTAAAAACTCCACTGTGAAGAGGTTGCTTGCCACAAAATCTTTTGCATACATCTTTAAATCTGTGAGAGTACTACAGATGGAAGTAGTCAGAGAGTAGATATACAATACATTAATAAGGCTTTCTGAAGCTCATCTGAGCAACTTATTAAAAATACAAAATATCCTTGTTGTCAGGTTAACACACACATGCACACCTAAACTTTATTCATCAGTCTGGTAAGACTTTGAGACTGGGCATCTCAAAAGTTTCTGCCTCCAGTGATTTCAGTAACTCCGGTCACTTACATCCCTTATTATCTCAGTGAATAATACAGTGGCTATATAAAATGACTAATCCGAGAAATAAAACAGGCAACTGCATTGTTTTTAATATACACATACATACATACAGAATACACACACACTTTAATACCAACCTGCTTATAACCATGGCAGTTATGACGGGCTCCCAGCCCGAGTGCAGAACTGTCCTTGTGGCTGGGTGTTTGGCAGCTACTATAATCCATAGAGGAGTTAGAGCTAAGAAAATCACACCAACTAGTGGAGAAATGTAGTAATAATTCTCTAAAATGAAAAAAAAAAACCAACATTTTTGTCTCTATATAGCAAATCTAAATTATTACGAATAAAAGTTTAGACATGATGCTATCAAATATGCAAACATGCTATATTTTTCTGCAAATTTCAAACAAGGTTAGAGAAGTACATAAGGTAAGAATATTAAATATGATGACTAAAAACTAATAAATTCAACAAATATTTGTTAAAACAGAAGGTGACTTACATTGGAATAGCAGTAACACGAATAACAGTAAAATAACAAGATTTGTCTCCTACTATTTTATGAAGTACTATGCTGAATGCTTTGTATTTGTCATCTGACTTAATTATCCATAAAATAGATATTGTCATTTTCACTTTAAGAAAAAATAGGCTTACACACACTGGGACACAGGGAAGAGACAGCGTTGTTAGAAAACATGAACTATAAAGTCAAATAGAATCAAACAGGATCAACAATAAAGTTACATGGATCTTACAGTCCAGGCATTCCCTGGAACATTGGCTCACTGATTGATAATAAAGTACAAGCACAAAAGTAAAGGTGAAAAACTAGGCTTTAAAAAGTTACACATATTTCTTCACTAAGGAACTACTACTTAGAATCTTTAATACATTAAGATGGAATATAGAGGCCGGCACACCGGGTTCTAGTCCCGGTCAGGGTGCCGGATTCTGTCCTGGTTGCTCCTCTTCCAGTCCAGCTCTCTGCTGTGGCCTGGGAGGGCAGTGGAGGATGGCCCAAGTGCTTGGGTCCCTGCACACGCATGGGAGACCAGGAGGAAGCACCTGGCTCCTGGCTTCAGATCGGCGCAGCACACCAGCCATAGCGGCCATCTGGGGAGTGAACCAATGGAAGGAAGACCTTTCTCTCTCTCTCATTGTCTAACTCTGCCTGTCAAAAAAAAAAAAAAAAAAAGATGGAATATAGAACATTGTACCAACTATAATTTGGATACATTACCTAGTGTTATATAAGTGTTACAACTTATCATGGACAAGAAATTTTACTTCATTAAGCTTCCATTTCTTTATTCTTGAAATATATTTATAATAGTATAAATTTCATGTAAAATTAATATGCAAACATGTAAGTTAACTAGAATAGTACCCTGGCACATAGCTGTAATTATCACTGTCTTCATCATCATTGCCATTAGTATTAATGCCTTGCTATTTGGGAAACAGCTGGACAACAGATTGTCAGGACTTTATTAAACTTCTTTGTGGCAGGTTGTCTAACTTGACTACAGTTCCAAACTGCTATTTTCATTATGCTGTCCTATAGAGACAGTACTTGTATACTTCTATGCCTCATTGATTTTGGTCTCTGCCATTTGTCTTGCTTAGTGGAAATTATGTATATCGTCCTGGAACAAAATTTTAAATGTGCTTTCAGAAACAACTAGAAGATTTGCATGTGTGTATGTATCTCGATTGTTTTCAGACATCAGAAAACAGGGATTGCAAGACCATGATTCCTGGGAAAAGAAAAATAAATGAGATAAGCGCTAGAGCAGCCCCAGGTTTCTGACAAAAGGCACACAGAGATCATTGCTCAGGGATGGAGAATTGGCAGTTCTCCAGGCTGGAGCAGCAGGAACTTACAGGGCAGAATATTAGAAAAGAAGAAGCCATGAGAGAAAGAGCTTGAGAGCTGACTGCTAACCTGTGTATGCGGAGAGTAAATTCCACAAGTCTAGGCCAAGAAAAAGCAAGGAATTGTAAACTGAAAAATCCCTCAAGTTTACAAAAGGCTGGAAGTCATTCAAGCAAGATCTAACCCCCTACAGAGAAACCTCTTTGAACAGTAAGAGCATTCAGTAGAAACCGGAGAACATCGTAGCAGTAGGGCTAGCCCTAGAGTAATGTCTGTACTAGATCTGCCCCAAGGAAGCTTTAAAGCAGTTTTATAAAACCCAAGCTAATCTACAAAAAACTGCCTGTAAGAACAAATCCAACATTCTGTAAAGAAAAAAACAATTAAGCACTTAACATCACGTTTACAGCGTCTAGCATCCAACCAAAAATTATTTTTAAGAGTCTGGACTATTTGGTCCCTTTTATAGACTTAGTTAAATACCCTGAGACATTCTGTTTACTTTACACAGTTCACTTATCTCACAAAAGTTTCCAAGTAGTTAAAGTAGTCTTTAGAAATTTAGTAAGTTAAATGTATAAATATGGTGACTAATGAGTTTGCATAAACATTCATATAATGTATATAAATTCAGTAAGATTTATATTTAACAATCACAAGAATAAATAAGTTTCTATTTAACAATACAAGAATAAATAAATTTCTATTTAATAATCACAAGAATAAGTCAACTACTTAACTGTAAATTTTTAAATGAGATTAGAAGACTGACATATTACTCTAATGGGCTGTATTCCAAGTATGTAACATAAATATGAATTGACTCTTAAACCCAAAACTATTAATTCCTAAGTTTAATTCTTAAATATTTTTGTACTTAATTCTAAATTTTTGTGATTATAAGTTTACACCACTTATTGAGACAGTTATATCCTCCTAAAACATTTCTGGTGATATTTTAGCTAATCGAAGTTTTATTATTAATATTTCAGCTAAAGGGAGTTGATGTTGTAGCACAGATTAAGCTGCTGCTTGGAATGTCTGCATCCCATATCAGAGTGCCTGGGATCAAGCCCTGCCTCTGCTTCTGATACATCTTTCTGCTGATGCACACCCTGGGAAACCAGGACAGAGTTCTTGGTTTCTAGTGTTGGCCTAGCCTACCCCCGGTTGTTGCAAGCAGGCATTTGGGTAGTGAACGAGCAGATGGAAGATTTCTTTTTCTCTCTCTCTCAATCTCTCTCACTCTCTCTCTCTCCTTTGCTTTTCCTTCCAAATAAATAAACAAACTTAAAAAATATTCTTACATATGACTGAAGATATTTGAACTAGACACTCTAATTTCTTCCCCATGAGGTAGGAGTAAACAATTATGATAGACATAAATATATTATCTAAACAAATTTTATTCCTGCAGCTTTGTCTGGATTTGCCATCACACCTTCAAAATAATTATGCTAACAGAATCCATTTTTGTATTTTCTTCCACTTAAGGTTATATGACTAATGCTACATTTACTGTCATTTTCTCCATGATTTTTTTAAATGGGGAAACATTTGACTAGCTTCCCAGTTCTCTTTGTTCTCCTCGTAAACCATTAGATAAATAATATCTCAGTTATAAGGCATGCCTACCTCCTAAAACAAAGGAAGTTGTCGACAATCTCTTTACACAACCAAACAGAAAAAAAAATTTTTTTGACAGGCAGAGTGGACAGTGAGAGAGAGACAGAGAGAAAGGTCTTCCTTTGCCATTGGTTCACCCCCTAATGGCCGCTATGGCCGCTGTGGCCGGCGCACCCTGCTGATCTGAAGCCAGAAGCCAGGTGCTTCTCCTGGTCTCCCATGGGGTGCAGGGCCCAAGCACTTGGGCCATCCTCCACTGCACTCCCTGGCCACAGCAGAGAGCTGTCCTGGAAGAGGGGCAACCGGGACAGAATCCGGTGCCCCGACCGGGACTAGAACCCGGAGTGCCGGCGCCGCAAGGCGGAGGATTAGCCTAGTGAGCCGCGGCGCCGGCCCGGAAGAATCTTGAAGGCATCATACTGAGTAAAAGAAGCCAGACATAAAATGTTGCATATTGTACAATTCTATTTATATGAGATATGCAGAATAGGCAAATCTAAAGAGACAGAAAATAGGTTCGTGGTTGCCAGGGGCTGAGACAAGTGGAATGAAAGACTACTAAAGTGTACAAAGTTTTTTTGGAAGGGTGATAAAAATGTTGTGGAATCAGAGCATGGTAATGGTTGCATAATCTTATCAATATATCAAAAACCACTGAGTTGGACACTTTACAAAGATGAACCATGCAGTATATTACATAGCGAATTTTGCAAAATTCTAACAATGGAAAAAAAGGAGGCAGATTATACACTTCAAAAATGTTCACATCACTAAAGACAACAGACAGACATGCACAGATAAAAAGAGAACAAAGAAAAAGTAAATGGGGGCCGGCACCACGGCTCACTAGGCTAATCCTCCGCCTTGTGGCGCCGGCACACCGGGTTCTAGTCCCGGTCGGGGCACCGGATTCTGTCCCGGTTGCCCCTCTTCCAGGCCGGCTCTCTGCTGTGGCCAGGGAGTGCAGTGGAGGATGGCCCAGGTGCTTGGGCCCTGCACCCCATGGGAGACCAGGAAAAGCACCTGGATCCTGGCTCCTGCCATCGGATCAGCGCCGTGCGCCGGCTGCAGCGGCGGCCATTGGAGGGTGAACCAACGGCAAAGGAAGACCTTTCTCTCTGTCTCTCTCTCTCACTGTCCACTCTGTCAAAAAAAAAAAAAAATTTTTTTTTAAAAAGTAAATGGGGTAAAATGTTAACAGGTAAATGTAGATAAAGGGGATGCTGGTATTTTTTACACGATTTTTATCTTTTTTATAAGGAAAACTTTTTTTTAAAGATGTATTTATTTGAGAGCAGAGTTACACACAGAGAGGGAAAGAGAGAGAGGGGGAGAGGGAGAAAGGGAGAGATAGAGTGTCTTCCATCCACTGGTTCACTCCCCAAATGGCCACAGCGGCCAGAATTGGGCCGATCTGAAGCCAGGAGCCAAGAGCTTCCTTCAGGTTTCCTAGACAGGTGCAAGGGCCCAAGGATTTGGGCCATCTTCTACTGCTTTCCCAGGCCATAGCAGAGAGTTGGATCGGAAGTAGAGCAGCCAGAACTCAAACCGATGCCCATATGCGATGCCAGTACTACACGTGGCAGCTTTACCTGCTGTGCCACAGCACCAGCCCCCACTATTTTTATTTTTGCAAGAATTTTGTAAGTATAACATCACCTTCAAATAAAAATCTTTAAGACATTAAAAGGCAAGAAAATCATGATGATACTGAAATGTCCAAAGAATTCACTGTTAATATATTCTATTTCATTTTTCTGCCAAATCAAACATTCTA